TGGTGTATGAATGTGATCTACAGCTCTGATTAGTCTCTACATTCAGATTATCTTTGTAGAGATCTAGCAGAGAGCTGCATGAATGGGTAAACGAGGACACAGGTTGTGTTGTAAAGAGCTTTGAGTATCTTGACTAGATAGAAAGGAGCTATAAGTAAAGTCTGTTTACCATCTGCGTGGACGTCTGAGCAGTTTCAGCTGAATGAGAATCAGAGACCTCAGATTTCTGCCTGAAGCCAAACAAGAAAAACTTTTCTCTGTTTCTGTTCTGTCGGTCTCTGTCTCATCCTCTTCTAATGAATCCTGTACTGTTGGACGGTCTCTGATGAACGCCATCCTCCCGATTCTGTTGAACCTCTTGATGTTCCCTGACACCTCCTTTCTTCAGGAACAATCCTAAAACCAACACACAGGAAGCAGTGTGACGAGAACAGATCGAATGTTTTCAGGCTGACTGTTTTGCCTCAGCTGGACTCTCCGCCTCGTCACAAAGACTCTTCAAGACGTCCGCCGACTGCCAAAACTCAGAAAGCCAGCTGCTTTGTCCTGAAGACCCCCGCAAAGACTGAGCAAAGTTAACCAGAGCCCCTGACGTGTTGACCAGAGCAAAAGACATAAATAATGTCAGTTCCAACTTGATGTTCTGTTCTGGATCAAATGCAGCACACAAAGTTGTAGACTACGAGGTCCAAACATAAGAAACGTATCCACAGGAGACACCTCAGCTCTGTCCAGCCCTGCCCGCACCAGTAAACACAAACTCTGGACCAGTTCAGAATAGTTTTAATCTGCTTCTGTTTCCATTTGATATGACTTCTTGTTTATGCTGCAATTAAACAACTCCTGATGTAACTGACGACCAGAACTTCTTCATCACTCCAGTCATTATACACTAAACAGTAATTCCCCGAACCATCAGAACGTTCTGCTTCAGAGCAAAGAGTCAGGAATCAGAAGGTGGAGCTGATGGACAAGCAAAGTTTTCTCTTCAGTCTGTTTGTTCAACGATGAATAAAAAAAATGAAATAAAATCTCAACATGATGTCAGAAAAACAAAAAGTCTTCCGTTGGTTCTCAGAGGTCTGTGTCAGAATGTTGGCAGCCGGAGACGTCGTTCCGTTTCATTCAGCAGAACCTCACATCAGTGGGACTTCGCAGCTGGGGCAGGAAACACTTATTTCCTCCTACACAAAAACAACCAACAATGTTGGAAGACCCCTCCTCAGATGACTAAACCAACCAAGACACGCTCAGACACCCTGTTCTCAGAGGTCCAAGCCAACCAACAAAACTTCTTTTGGCTTTTTTTTTTCTCTTCAGGGGTCTCCACAGCGAGTCCTCCTCCTGCATCTCTGTCCTCTCTCCATCTACCTCCATGTCCTCTCTAACTGCATCCACATATCTCCTCTTTGTCTTTTTCCTGACAGCTGCATTTCTAACATCCTTCTACCAATATAGCCACTGTCCCCCCTCTGGACATGTCCAAACCATCTCAGTGTGTCCTCTCTATCTTTATCTCCCACCTGTGCTGTTCCTCTGATGATCTCAAGCCAACCAACAAAATACAGTTTGTAAATGAGAACTGGTTCTTGAACATTACACCTGGTAAAATAAAGGTCAAATGGATAAATACTCTGTCTCCACTCATCTGAAAATACAAAAACATGCAAGGATGCTGGGAGACTCCATCTTCAGATGTGCAAACCAAACAACAAGGTGTGCACAGAGACACTGTCCACTCGTCCAAACCAAGAGGAGCAGGACGACAGCACCCAAGGAGGAATCGCCCAGAAGAATACAATGGGACGCGAGGACAGTTAAGGTGAGTCTTGTTATCCATCCATCCATTTATCCATCCATCCATGTGATGGAGATGGAAGGTCACAGATGTTTTTCACTTATATATTATACACTCATATTACCATGTACCAAAGCTCAAATAATATCTCAATTACAGCCCCAAATGCCAAATGAGTTGAAAAGGAGGTGCTATGGATGCATTACCATCTACCTGGAGGCGGTGCTCGAGTGCCTGACTGTCGAGATCTTGGAGGTGGCGGGAAACACAGCTCGTGACAGCGGGAGGACTGAGATCATCCCTGCAGTTAAGTCCGTGGCGGCGAGGGACTCGGCAGGCTGCCGGGAGAAATGGCCATCGCTCGGGGAAGAGGACCGAGAGGTCTGCTGGGTCTGGGTGGACGTATCGGCATCTGCATCCAGTTTCTTCGTATCTGCTGTGGGACGGACTGCTACAAGAGATCCTTCCTGCCTAAAGCCATCAGCATCTAGAACAACTCTAATGAAACTAAGATGATGAGCTACAACAATTAATTTCCCTTTGGGATTAATAAAGTATTTTTGAATTGACTTGAATGTGTGTGCATTAAAAGTTGTTATGACTGGATTGAGTGCTGCATAAGCGTGGAGCCTTTCACCCGAATAAGCAAGGAGGCTGCACCTTGTCTTTGTCTGATAACCATTATAAAAAGACGCTCTTTTAGGCTCTCAGTGAACAGACTTGGAGACGAAGCGTCAAACATCTTGTCTGCTTGTATTTCAATTTATGTTCCATCTTGCAAGATTAAACCTGGGATTAAGAAAATTATCTGCCTCTCCTGTGTGGCATATTTAGTTAATGAGCTACAAGGATAATATTAAATTATCCTAACACCATCCATCCATCATCTTTACTCGCGTCTTCCTTTTCGAGTCGCAGGGGTCACCGGTGCCCACATCCAGCTATCACTGTGTGAGAGGAGACACCTGGACAGGTCTCCAGAGTCCATCACAGGGACACCTGGACAGTCTCAAGTCCATCTGAGGGACACATAGAGACAAATGAGACAAACAACCATTCACTCTCTCACCTAGGGGGACCGAGGGCGCTTGATGCATCGAACATCGACTGCTTCACTTTGTGCTTCGCTGTTTCAAACTGAAGCTTTTCATAATGAGTGTTTGAATCAAGCTTTCTAAAGGAACAGGAAGCAACATTATATTGTTCATATTGTGTAACGTGCATTTAGGAGCTGCGGTGGCTCGTCGCTCAGCTCTGTGGCCTCGTGGTCCTGCGGCTGCAAGTAAAAGGTGTATCAGGAATGTGATCGATCCACCATAAAACTATCGCCAAATCTGTCATGGGAGCTTGTCCGCTGAGAAAGTGAACCACTGAAAACAAAAGCTGTATTTTATATTTATTATTTATTTTTTATTTTAAATGTTTAGGTGAGCAAATCAGAATGTTAGGATTTTCTTTTAAACAGATGCCTTAATAAGCTTAGCTGCAGTTCTGGTGCGCTGCATGCATTTAAAGTCGACAATGTAGTCATTATTAATAAGTAAAGAGAAGCATCAGCAGATCAAAATGACCACACAGTTGGTTCTCTCTCGCTCTGGCTTCATTTGGCCACTAGATGTCACTGTTTCCAATCAGACCTCGAAGCTTTTCTCTTATTTCAGTTCTTCGGAGCTTCATCTGCCCATCATCACCGAGGAGTACAAACAGGAAAATGATCTTGAATCTATAAAACCACAGAGGCTGAGGCGTTCACGTGTGACGGCAACGGACTAAAGAAGAACGTTGTCCCAGCTCAGCCTTAATAAGCGCCGGTGATAATCAGCCCTGAGCCAAACAGAAGCAGAGAAGAAGCTCTAACTCAAGATGACAAATAAAAGATGTGGGGTAAGAGATCAATGCAGAATCCTCACAGCTCCAGACCTCCAAGCCTTTGTAGCTCATTGTTCATTAATCTGCCTGTATTGGACTGATCAATAAGTAATTGATTAATAAAGTGATTAAGAAAATAATTGATCAGTACCTGTTCCTCTATTGTTTTCCATATCAATAAACTTTTATTTAAGTTACTGTTTTTTGATCTGCCTGTTTCCATCCATCCATCCATCCATCCATCCATCCATCCATCCATTATCTTCACCTGCTTCTTCATTTTCAGGTCGCAGGGGTCACTGGTGCCCATGTCCTGTGGATAAACCAGTTAAACTGACATGCATGTTTTCTGTCTGTGGATTTAAAAAAAAAAAACACAGGGAGAACATGTAAACTCCACACAGACAGACAGATGTGATCTGTTGTTGTTAATAAGCAACAAAACAAAATGAAAAAAGTAAAACAAAAATTAAAGGACTGTAAAATAATTTTTTTGACTAGAGGAGCTCTGTGACTGATAAGAGACCATTCAAAACTTTAAAAGTAAATAAAATGATGAATTAAATCTGAAAACAGACAGGAAGCTAATAAAACACAGTTTCTTTGTACTGTTCAGAAGTCTAACTGCGTTCAGCAGTTATTGATCAGGTCTTTGATCCAGATCAGATACAGGTTTTTCAGTTACAAATCAAATGTGACGTCATGGCGCCCTCTGCTGGTCATTCAGCGTCACTGCAGTTTCATCTGAACCACCTTCAGACGAGGAATAAATTGTTTTGGTTGCAGTTCAGAGCTATTGGTAGAGCTGGTGCTGCTCAGCAAGAAGGTTGCTGGGTCGATTCCTGGCCAGGGACTTTCTTAGGTGGTGTCTGCATGTTCTCTCCGTGCTGCATGTTTTTTTTTTTTCCCGGGTACTCCGGTTTCCTCCCACAGACCAAAAACATGCACTGATTGGTAACTGGCTGTCTCCACTGTCTCAACTGTCATAAAAGTGGACCATGATGTTTTTATTTTATTTTATTATTCTGGTTTGAGTTAAAACATTTTTAATAATAGAGTAATTTAATACTTTTTTTTAACAGCCACTACAGAGTCATTGTATCTCTTGTGAATCTTTTAATACTCTTTTTTTTTTTTTTTTTAATTGGTCACATTTTCATTTGGACCCCGGCCCGGTAAAAGCTTCTGACCGGCCCTGGACCCGCTTATGATTCAGAGGACTTCATGTCCCGGCATGCTCTGCGGCTCGGCGCTCCAGGGTGGATCCAGCAGGTGGGAGGGTTCAGCATCCTGTACCGGGGAGACGCCGACCAGAGACCAGATCCCTGTTCCCGGACCGATCCTGATCCGAACCGAGCTCCGATCCGAGCGGACCGTGGTCGTGTCTGAGGTTCCGGACTGTGCGGGGCAGATGGACGCGGCAGAGTGCGCGGGCGTGTGCGGGGTGAAGGTGATGTGTCGCTTCAGACCCCTGAGCGACTCGGAGCGGAGCCGGGCGGACCGGTTCATCCCCAAATTCAGCGGAGACGACACCGTGGTTCTGTCCGTGAGTACCGACCCAACCGAACCTCCGGACCGCCGAGGCACGCCCTCCCCTCCCGCTGCTGTGCGCGCGCGCGTGCACTAGAATAAAAAAACACAAAGGAAGCTGAATCGACCTGGCCACACGCGCGCACGTGCACGCGCACGCACATAAACGAGCAGAAACCATGTGAGGCAGAAGAGACATGATGTTTGTTTGTTTGTTTGTTTGTTTGTTTGTTTGTTTGTTTTGAACTGCAGCTAAAGATGAGCAATCAGCTGGGCGCGTGCACGTCGTGACTGTAGGTGTTGGTTTTGCTTCTGATCAATAAAAAGCTGCACAATATGAGAAACATTTCTGGACAAAAGTTCTCAGAGGAGTGGGTCAGATGGTTCCGCTGTGGGAGGTTTACCACTAAAACCATTTAGGTTCGCTCACTGGTCACTTCCAGTCCAGTAAACACTCCAGAACAACAAACGCTGCTCAGAGTACCGCTTGTTAAAGTCTGACTTTTTATGATGTAGACTTCATCTCATCAAACCATGCGTGTTGTTTATTTATTATTCTTACAAACAAACAAACAAACAAACAAACAGAACCAGACAAACTACAAACCTCTGATGGTCACGTGACTGCCCCAGTTCTGATTTCAGCTCTCAGACCAGGACAGCAAAACAAAACCAGGATGTAATGAGACCGATCCTGACGTCTAATGGTCCACTGACCCATCTGTAATGAGGAGTCGTTAACCCGCCAGAACCATCAGAACCCACAGATGTTTCCAGATGGAAAATTCCTTTATTTCTGATTATTATCATTTTTTTTGCACAACAACAAAACACAAACTGAGCTGCTGAGAAAGCACGAGTTAGGACATCTGACTGTCCAGCTATCCGTTCTTCCATCCCAGGTTCATGACAGATGGACATTCTGAGAAGCCTCATGGGAAACATGTTTCCATGACAACAGCTGGAAGCTGACGCAGGTCATGTGATCAGCAGCAGTTGGTTTGTATGACAGTCGAGGTGTGTGCGTGTCTGGAATCTTTCAGCAGCAATCATCTTTCTTTTGTCTCACCGGTCCATCCTCTCAGCTGTTTCCAGTCGGTCTCCATGGCAACAAGATTAAACCATCCATCCATCCTTCCATCCATCCATCCATCCATCATATTTTACTTGCTACTTTCTTTTCGGGTCACAAGGGTCATTGGTACCCATGTCCAGCTATCACTGTGTGAGAGGCGGGGGACACCTGGACATGTCTCCAGTCCATCACAGAGACACATGGAGACAAACGAGACAAACAACCATTCACTCTCTCACCTAGGGACAATTTAGAGTTACCAGTCAGTCTAACATGCATGTTTCTGGTCTGTGGGAGGAAACTGGAGTACCTGGAGAAAACCCACTCATCACGGAGAGAACATGCAAACTCCTCCTAGAATGCCCCCCCCCCCCCCGGCCAGGAGTCGATCCAGCGACCTTCTCATTGAGAGACGGCAGCTCTACCGACTGCACCACCGTGCCGCATTTGATTAAACCAGATAAAGTAAAACAAATTGTTGACCCATGAGCAGCAGAATGTTCTGATGGCATCCAAGTTCTGTTTGTTTGTTTTTTTTGTTGTTTTTTTACCATGCAATAAATAGTTAAAGAAGCCTTGACATTCAGTTTAAAAGTGAAAAATATAATGGAACTCTGAAGAAGCTGGGCTGTGCACCCTTTGAACTCTGGTGGGAATTAAGAGAAAACCTTCAGTGTTATGACAGTGAGAGACACCTGGGTCGAAGAAGATCTGCAAATATCTACGTTTTTATATATTGTAGTGAGTCACGTGGGTACGTGTCACTTGTTGTATGACAAATATATGAAATATATATGCATACAATATTCACGAGTTCTTCATTTTTCTGACTGTGTAATGCCGTGCATTGAATTTAAAGGAATGCGAACGAGAGACGTTATTATCTTTGACCCATCAAATGAATGGAGTCATTTATTTTCAGAATCAAAGTTTAACATCAAACATTTACATTAATTTGGCAAAATATGAAAATAATAACAGACAGTTTCACAAATAATGAACTTCAAATCACTCGGCGGTGATTTGAGGACTTTGCTTCAGATATTTCTAAAAATATCTGTACTGATTTATGAGAGAGAGGTGAGTTTAAGAGGAAATTGAGATTTATCTTACAGAGGAATATGTGAGGGAATTTAATCTGTTTAACCAGAAATTGCACGCTCCGTCAGGTATCTCAGCTTGTCCCAGGTACACTTTAGTCGAAGAAGAAACCGTTACCTTGTTGACGATCGATCACCTCAGTAAGAATCCTTTTCAACTGATATCAGCGTCTCCTTTGAGAACAGCTAAAATCCTTGGAGAGTCGTGCGTGGTTAGCTCAAAACAGAATTATAATCCCAAAACGTCTCTGGATTCTAGTAACTCTGACTCTTCATTGTCAGCAGCTCTCAGACTCTTTCTCCAAAACTCTCCATAACTCTAGTTTTCTTCTGAACTCCTTCAGAACTTTTTCATTCTCGGAATCTTTTCCATTCTCCACCATTCCAACTCTCTAACAGAACCGGGAAGTTGTCACATTTTAAATGAGTTTACTTCCGAGTTTACTTCAGAGCTTTCTGATTCGTGGATGGACCAGAAAGAGGAGTGGTTTTGACGTAAGGTGTTTATCAAAAGTCGAGGTCAGAGAATGAAATTTGTTTAACAACTGACAGAGAGATTATTGCAAAAAGCAGACTTCGTGGAGCCAACTCTTGGTAATCTTCTGAAAAAGTTTAAACATGACATTTCTTCTTCAGTAAACATTTAGTTGACCGAAGCTTCAACTTTCACACACTTACGACTTGACTCATTTCAGACAGAAAATCAAGAAATGCATATTCAGGTGATTTCTTGTTTGAATGAGGAATAAAAATCATTACTTACTGTTTATGTAAAATAAAAATGAGTAGTTCTTTTCAACCTGTAAAGCATTGAGTGAACTAACACAATTTGATTATCAAAACATTTGTAAGACAGTAATGATTATAGAGGATTGTCTTTTCTGCTTGATTAATTCAAGAAAGAAAGTTCATCAGATGGCTCAGACTTATTCAAATCAATGAAAATAACAGTCTCTGTCCATCTGGTAGATTTGAGGTCATCAGGGTCAGATGGGGGTCAGATCATCAGGCCATCTAGTTCACTACTATATATATATATATATATATACATATATATATATATATATATATATATATATATATATATATATATATATAGTAAATATGATATCACACTCAATAGTTTAATTGTTTTGAGGAAAATTTCTTTCAGTTTTTATTAAATGTTTTCTACATTGTAGAAATAAGAGCTACCAAAGTGAAGAGCATGTGATTCCTGATGGCGCTGCATGTTTTGAAGTCCTCTTGTCTCTGTTTTATATCAAAGCTGGGTGTTAACATGTGATGACACTGTACAGCTTTAATATCCTGATGCATGCTCAATGATCCAGGTAGAAAAATCTAGCTAAGTTAAGGCAGGTCCTCTGGACGGATTCTTCTTTATTGAAAGGTTTCGTCTTTTATCCAAAGGACTTCTTCAGCCCGAGGAGCTGCAACAAACTCGGTCTTATAAACAGCATCTTCTCATAGTGGATCAAACAGTTTGCTGATGACATCCAGAACTAGCTGTTCACATGATGAAGACCATCAGCCTAACGATGGATCGTTAGTGCCCTGATGGCCGCTTGCTATTCGCAGAGGGCCGAGTGATTCTAGCAATAACAGCATTGTAAGAAGGGGACAGTTATACAGCTTTAACTTTTCCCATCAAAAACCCATTTACTCCGATGACAACGCTGTTAGCCGTAGCACACGATTACTTCCTGTTCTGTTTCATGTTGACCTCTGTGAGTCTGTGTGAGTCTGATGAAACCTTTAAAGCTCAGGTGTTCTCAGGTGGACCACAGGCGAAGAACTGATGCAGTTAACGCAGTTTGACAAGCTGAAGTTAAAATTTATTCTGAACAAACAAAAGTTGATTTTAGCTGATGAACATATCCTGGACTCTGATAGGCTTCTCATCTCTGTTGAGTCTTTTGTTGTGATGTTGTGTTTCCTGTGTTTCAGGGGAAGCCATATGTGTTTGACAGAGTCCTTCCTCCGAGTACGGAACAGGTGCAGGTGTACGACACCTGCGCCAAGCAGATTGTCAAAGGTGAGCTCACCTGAGGACCAAGTTATGTGGTACAGGATCCAGTTTCTGTAAAACAGTCTGCGGTACGAGGTCCAGTTCTTAGTGGGGGGTACCAGTACATTAATCCTTCCTGGTTCCTTTCCTTGACACCAAATCGACCCATCACTTCCTCATCTCTGTTTCCTTCACCATCATGTCCACACCTGTGGACTCACCTGGGGATTCTCTCTATCCAGGGCTCTATCCCAGGTCCTAGGGGATGTTCTGTTCTGTTTTGTTGTGTTTTATTTTATTTTTGGGATGCGTCTTTGTGTTTCAGATGTTTTGGGAGGATACAACGGCACCATCTTTGCTTATGGTCAGACATCTTCTGGAAAGACTCACACCATGGAGGTGAGTGTGGGCGTGTAGTGATGAAAAATGTTTGTTTTTGTGCTTTTAATGTTGTTGTTGTTGTTTTAGGGGAACCTTCATGACCCTCATCTGATGGGTATCATCCCTCGAATCGCCAGAGACATCTTCGACCACATCTACTCCATGGACGAGAACCTGGAGTTCCACATTAAGGTGATGATGTCATCGATGGCATCACAGATTCTGCTACTGATGTTGTTTGAATTTAGTTTCTAACGTTAATGTTTTTAATGATCATAAATTTTAACATAATCAGTCAAGGAGAAAAAGAACGATCAGACTTATGGTATCCTTCAGATCAAACGAAACAAACTGTGGAAAATGATGTGAATCACGAAAGGATGAAAACTCTTAGTCTTAGTTTTGTATTTAAAGGAAATTTGGACCTCTGGGACACTGTAGAAACTTTTCAGAATCGAAGCAGACGTCAGAAGTCCTGCACAGCTGCAGCGGTACATCGTACTGAATGTTTCCGTTTCATGTATCCTTTGGTGCTCTTCTCTGTCTCCAGGTTTCTTATTTTGAAATTTATCTGGATAAGATTCGTGACTTGTTGGACGGTGAGACATTTCTCATAACGCCTGTTTTTAAAGTCAAAGAGCCGAACGGCGTTTGACCGACGCCTCCGTTTCTGTTTCAGTGTCCAAGACCAACCTGGCCGTCCACGAGGACCGAAACAGGGTTCCCTACGTCAAGGTACACTGCAAATATACTATGTACTACAATATCAGTATCACAGTATCAGTACTGCAATATCAGTGCTACAATCACATCAGATTATAAAGATTTAATACAACATCAGTACTAGATTATAAATACTACATTCTTAATATTATTGTATTAGTTCTACACTCGCATATGAGTATTACAGTATCAGTACTGTACTTACATCCCAGAGTGTAAAGTATTAATACTACAGTACCAGTAAAATGTATTTGGTGCAGCCTATTTGCGGTACATAGCAGAGATTAGTATTTAGTTGATGTTAATTGTTTACAGAGCACCACATTCATAAGTTTTTATGTTTATTATGTTTTGTGCCAGGGTTGTACTGAGCGTTTTGTATCCAGTCCTGATGAGGTGATGGACATCATTGATGAAGGAAAAGCAAACAGACATGTCGCTGTCACCAGTAAGGAAGTACCACTTACCCAACCCTACCACACGTGCTGTACTGAGCGCTGAAAACAGAAAGTACTCGACAGATTTTCTGTTCCATCAACCTGTATGTTTAAAGCAGAGTTCTATAAACCATTAGAGGGTGCTCTGGTCACATGGCCTCATAGATATGTATAAACTAGAGCCCAGACGGATGTATCAGTAGAGCTGATATTTTGGGCCGATACAGACATTTGGGGACATATCTGTGATAAACGTCCTATTATGCTCCGATATAAGCACTTCTAATTGTCACCCTAAAATGCTGTAATCAGCCGCAATCGTACAATGTGTCCAGTAGAGGGCGCATGAAGACTACTTTTAAGTCATTGTCGTTCACTTAAGTTTCACTTTCACCTTCAGCACAGTAGAAACAGCAGCAGTACTGTATGTAGTGTATTTTGCTGTACATGGTACGTTTATTTGAACTGATCTGTAAAACAAATCAACAATAATTAATTGTAAAACTTTATCCAGAACAATAAATCTAACGCAGCAGTTAAAATATGTGTTAGTAACGTTATTATCTTTGTCGTCCTCAATGAAATGCATCGTTGTCTGAAATCTTTACTTCTCTGCAAAAAAAAAACAAACAAAAAAAAAACGCCACTGCAGTCAATGCTAATTAGACCTTCACCATACGTGACTGACCGTTTAAACAATGAACAGGGAAGAGCATTTCTTTGTTTAATTTATATTTATGATACTTGTAACTTTATGGTGAATGGTAGAGGATAGAAAATGTGAACGCACGTTAAGAAGACTGTTTTAATGACCAGCGCACCACTTGTAAACCTAGACTGGGACTACGTATCTCGTGGATCGTATTTGCTTAGATTCATGGTTGCTAACAGCTGCGCTAAATAAACAAGCCCCTCTACTGGCTGTTTTCCTAGATTCTTGGGGGTGGACAAAGCTCAAAATATTTCAACCATCATATTGGTTATCTGCGGTCCCTTGCCCCTCCAAATATCGGTATCATCGATAGCCAAAATTTCTCATCGGTCAGGCTCTAGTATAAACCACAAGAGGGTGCTGTGGTGGCAGTTAGTGGTTTTCAAACCCCAAAATACAAAATGGCAAAGACTAGTTCATCCCAAAGATCCAGTCCTCCGGCTTATGTGAATGTTGTTCAGTGCCAGGAGGACTGTGATCAGTCTTACATCGGGGAAACTAAACAGCCATTGGCCAAAAGGATGGCCCAGCACAGAAGATCAACATCATCAGGCCAGGATTCTGCGGTCTACACTCATCTCCAGGCCAGCGGTCACTCTTTCAGGGATGAAGATGTTCACATCCTGGACAGAGAGGAACGATGGTTTGAGAGAGGAGTAAAGGAGGCCATCTTTGTGAAGAGAACTTGTCCATCATTAAACAGAGGCGGAGCCTCCGTGTTCACCTGTCCCCCTCTTACAATGCTTTTACTACATCACTCATCCCTCTGTGGATAACAAGCGGCCATCAGGGCACTAACGATCAACTGTTTGGACACTAACGATTAATTGTTAGGCTGATGGTCCTCCTTTTACATGTGACCAACTAGTTCTGGCTGCCAACAGCAGACTGAAGAAGTCTTTTGGATAAACTATGAAACATTTTAAGAAAAAATAATCTGTCCAGAGGCCTTGACTCGACCTTGTTTCATCAGTCATTATTGACCGACTTCAGGTCATGTTTATATCATCATTAGCTAGACCCACTATATTTTCCTTCTATAACATTGAGCTGTTTTACATGATTGTTTTCTAAATTAACATTAATCATGAAATAAATTCATATAAAAATTTTAAGAATGATGTTTGACACAGATCGAGTTATTTTAATTAAACTGTTAGTTGTCCACGATGTCACAAATGTAAACAGTAGGTAAGACCGGCAGTGCGCCCTCTAGTGGTTTATTAGAACTTCATGATTTACAGTTGGAATAGTTCAACTGCTTCCTTTCCACCTGAGTTCCTTACCTGAATTCACCACCTGAGTTCTTTACCTTTGTTTCCTCTGCAGACATGAACGAGCACAGCTCTCGCAGTCACAGCATCTTTTTGATCAACATCAAACAGGAGAACGTAGAGACGGAGATGAAACTGTCGGGAAAACTTTATCTGGTTGACCTGGCCGGCAGTGAGAAGGTGCCACCTGTTCCTCGACATCTTTATCACCTCTTTTCACAAAATTTAATTTGGGAGGCCCAAAAGAGTCCAGAGACCAGATCATCAGTTATTGTTCCAATCATTTAGTCCTGAGGGACAAACTCTGATGCAACTGAAACTCAACACTCACCTGTCCTCCATCTGTCCCACACCTGACCTCCATCTGTTCCTCATCTGACCTCCATCTGACACACACCAAAACTCTATCCTATACCCGTCCTCCATCTGTCCCACGCTTCTTCTATCTGTCCCTCACCTGACCTCTGTCTCTCCCTCACCTGACCTCCATCTGTCCCACACCTAACCTCCATCTGTCCCACACCAGACCTCTATCTATCCCACACCTGTCCTCCATCAGTTCCACATGTTTTTTCTATCTGTCCCTCACCAGACCTCCATCTGTCCCACACCTGTCTTCTATCTGTCCTCACCTGACCTCCTCCTGTCCCATAACTGACCTCCATCTGTCTCTAACCTGTTCTCCATCTGTCCCTCACCTGTCTTCCATCTGTCCCTCACC